ATGATCTCCAATGGTTCAGCTGCCAGATTTCTCCCTATGTACAGTACACTACTTCATCAAGCTCCAAACTTCCACATATGAAGGTAAAATAGTATTGGCGACTTAAGTTTCTCATACACAGTATAGGTATACAGTAGTGGACTTGGGTTGTATAAGATGCAATTCGCGGTTTTGCCAATTCATGCCAGAATAGCTGGGGTTTATTGTATGTATGTAGGATGGTGTGCATTTAACCGAGTAAAAATAAATAAAGAAAGTTACGCATATCCACCCGAAATTACGAGTTGAAAAACAACCATAACATCTCACAGCGTGGCCCAGTAGCCTGGTAGTTAGTGACAATAACATTATTAATCACTATTATATCAGTAAACACTAATAATAACAGTATATCCAGTGAAATATAGCAGGGAGGAGAGACAAGTTATAACAGAGCCGATGCGCTAACTAGCAAACACAGTCACTCACTCCCTTACTGCTACCATTGCCAGGTGTACATATGGGAGAATTACAGGTTTTGTAGTCTAATTTAAAAACTGTGATGGGCACAGTGATAGACAAATTTTATAAACAATAATTTTACCTGGGATAACATAATAAAAAAACACTATCATTACTCGAGTGAATGAAATAATATTCCCAAAAGTGGCAATTGACAACTCTGTTAATGTTTCCCACCTCGGGCACCTGTGTCCCACGCGCTGACATCTTACACAGTCCTAAGATGATCTTTGCTCTGTTTTGGGAATGCTTCTTAGCCTCCAGAAACACCAAATTTTATCCGAATCTTCCGAAATCCGGAATTACCGGGTCTGAATCTTCAAGAGTTCACTGTAGTTAAAATTCAAGATGAAGAGCTGTGATCACATGAGTACAGTGATCCCTCGGTTAACGAAATTTCGGTTAACGAATTACCTTCCATAAGATTCTTCACTTCGGTTAATGAGCAATCCCTCGATTAACGAATTCCTTACGAGAGCCCCTCAACATGTTTTCGCTTGCTCACTAGCTGTCGTATTAGTCCGCCAATACAGTAATCGGTTCTAGGGCTTAAATTCTTACCATTTTAGTAAATATCAAGAAGGTTGTACTATTCAATCATTTTAAAAGTTCTATATTAAATTTTTTAGTCATTTTAGCAATTATCGAACATAATTGAAGTACAGGAAACTAGTTTTATGCTCGCCAAACAGCCACCCAACACACCAAGCTTGGCGTCAGTTTGTTTACAGGTTCAGAGGAAGGAACATCTTGTTTGAGACTCTTCAACATAAACACTTTTTTTCTGTGTTTCCAGTCAAATTATTGGTCATTTTGAAACATATTTTACATATTGATAATATATAGCGCAGTGCAGTGTTAATTTAAAGAAAATAATCTTGAATTACACCAAGTGAACTAAAATTTTATGGGTGAAATGGCAGCATGGGGTGACTTCTCTTCCACCCCAATGCCTTCTCTTATGCCTTCTCCTCCACCCCCATTCTAATTCCCATCATCATCATCATCAACCAGGAGCCTTCTACATGCACACCTCAAAGTAAGTGTACTTAACTGCATTTATTTTTCGTTTGTATGTAATTTTCGGTGAGCTGGAACCAATTACCCAAAAACCCATTGAAACAATGGTTTCGGTTAACGAATTTTTCGGTTAACGAGCAACCTTCTGGAACGAACTGTGCTCGTTAACCGAGGGACCACTGTACAACCCAAAAATTCACAAGGAGGTACAGTTGCTAAAACAACTTTGTGGGAAACAATATGAGACTATGGACGATAAATAGTGGTATATGAGGGCTGTCACTAGTCTCACGTAAAATTTTGGAACATATCGACCCTCACCTGCACAGATAGTTGTTTCAGCTACTGTACATCCATAGCTGGAAAAGAGGCTGCACTCTTCTTGCCAGCTTTTCACAGCCAATGATAATTTGAGCACTGCAACACACGAGTATGCTCCATAAATAGTTGGCCCCACACAATTAGGTGACAGCTATTTTGTCCTCAACAACTTCACTAACGCACTACAGTATTGTATAATGATATTTGGTAAGTAATATTCCCCTACATCCATTGAAAATTTCGTACATGATTCCTCTACAGTTTCTATTAGTACATTAACCCCCCCCAAAAAAACTACAATCAACCCTCACTTTACGCGGTCCCACATTCCGCGTTTCCACGTTTACGCGGTGCCCTGCCGAAACCCAGGATGCTCACATTCCGCGGTGCGTGTACCCCTTTACGCGGAGAGTGTCCGGCTCGACGCTATTTTTAGATTCGCCCCACCCGCCTGCTCCCGCCTCCTTCCTCCTCTGCCTTCGCCTGGCCAAGCCGCGCGGTAAGGTTGCGCAGTGCATGTCTCTGTTGTGTTATCACTGACGTCATATGACGTATCGGACTGTGATTGGCCATGCATCCCTACCTCCCTCCGCTGCTAGCTGTAATTGGTTTAAAGTAATATGACGTGTCCACCCCGGGGAGGGAGGGAGGGAGGAAAGACGACGCTTGACCTAGCCGCGGCAGTTTCATCCCTCCAGGCCACACCGTGTAATCGTGCATCCATTGTTCTGTAAAATGGCTTCCGCCGGACAACCACCCCTAGAGAGAAACCTTTCCTTGCCTGGACCCAGCCGCCCTAAGCCCAAGAAGACACGACGTTCCTTAAGCTACGAGGTGAAGTACAAGATCATCCAAGAGTTAGAGAAAGGAACAAGACAGGTTGATTTGGCGCGCCAGCATGGTGTGAACGAATCTACGATCTGGACGATAAAGAAGGATGCAGCCAAGATAAAGGAGCACATGAAGTTCACAAAGTCTTCAGGTGCTTCTATGATCAAGTATTTTCACAACCAGGTGCTTCTCAAGACAGAAAAATTACTTGTGAGCTACTTGGTGCGTCAGGCGCGACGGAACATGGCGGTCGACACGCGCTCTGTTAAGGAGTACGCACGTGAACTGTATGCTGCAGTGTCACGAAAGATGGGAATTACAGAGCCCAAACCCTTTAATGCTTCCTCTGGGTGGTTACAGAGGTTTAAGATGCGGAACAAGATCACCAATATAAACATTGGTGGTGAAGAAGCCAGTGCTGACTGTGCTGCGGCTAGGGAATTTCCTCTGTTTTTACGTGAGATTATGGAGGAAGGACAGTACACCGACGACCAGGTGTTTAACATGGACGAATCTGGTCTTTTCTGGAAAAAGCTATCTTCCAAGACCTTTGCTGTGAAGAATGCCAGCAGGATTCGGGGCCAGAAGATGCAGAGGGAGCGCATCACCGTCCTGTTTACCACCAATGCCTCTGGTACCTGTAAGCTCAAGTTATCGGTGATCCACACAGCCCGCAAGCCGCACGCCTACAAGAACATGGACATGACCAAGCTAAATGTCCACTGGCTGACCGCACGTAAGGCGTGGATGTTCTCTACACTGTCCCTCTCCTGGTTTGATGACTGTTTCGTTCCCGATGTAAAGAAATTCTGTGAGCAACAGAATGTGCCATTCAAGATTTTGTTGCTGCTGGACAACGCACCAGGACACTCCCCCCTACTGTTAGATTATCAGCCCAGCGTAAAAGTGGTCTTCCTTCCTCCCAACACTACGTCTATATTACAGCCCATGGACCAAGAGTTTATCTGCAATGTAAAAGCTGCATTCTCAACAAAAAAATTCCAGCTCCTGAACGACTACACCAACACCAGGGAAGAGTTGCGAAGAAGACGAGGATCAACAGTTGGCAGAGCAAAAAATACTTTTCAAACAATTCTGGAGAATATTTAACATCAAGAAAGCTGTGGACTTCTTGGTGGAGGCATGGGATCAGCTGTCTGTAGCAACTGTTCATCACGCATGGAGACGTGTTGCAAGGCATTCCGGGCGTAAGGCAGAGTCAATCTGTGACTGGTGAGGTTCAGACTGTTACAGTAGCAGTGGACCTTGCCAGAGAAGCTGCGCAGAGTGTTACAGCTGCAGGCTTCTCCGAGACCACCAACGACAACATCCTGGAGGTGATAAGGGATCCTAATGTGACTACCGACGAGATGGTATATGATGATGACGTCAGTGAAGAGGCAGGTGGTGCGTCATCCCAAGAAGAACACCGCTTATCCTACAGTAATGTTAGGGGTGCCATCGAGTGTGTCGAGAAAATCAAGCTCCTCCTTTCCGACGACCATGACACAAACAGGTATGAAATCATCACTACCCAGCTGTTGCAGACTATGGAGCCCTACTTCAAGGTTTATCACAATAACATATACATCAGCCGTCAGCAAAGCATAACAGAGTTCTTCGCCCGCAACCCACCACAGCCAGCCCAAGCCAGTGATAGTGACAGAGGTAGAGACAGTGAAGATGACTTTGAGGGATTTGTCAGGGAGGCCCTGACAAGTGTGGATGACAGTGATGGTGACTCACCTGAGGGCCAGTAGCCTGCCCTCTGCCTCGGAACCAGCCTCCATCCCCGTACGCCGACCCATCTATTCTACTAACGTAAGTGTTCAACCTAACTTTTAGTTTTCCTAACCTAACCTTTATTTTTCCTAACTTAACCTTTATTTTTCCTAACCTAACCTCTTCTATATTAATTGTGTGTGCATACCATCATAAAGTTAAGATAAAATTTTTACTACAACATAGTTGTGTGTTGTCAATAAGTGGAGTTTGGGGGTCGGCCCGGTCTCTATTTCAATTAATCCCATATGTTATGTTGTTCACTTTACGTGTTTCTCACTTTCCGCGGTACCCTGTGGGTTATATTAACCGCGTAAAGTGAGGGTTGACTGTATATACATATCAATTTATTCTCCTGCTTCTCTCCTTTTCCACTAATGAATAAGGTTATACCTAAAAGAGGTTAATGCCACAAACAAATTTGGTATCAAAGTCAAAAGAAGAATATTTTTCATTTTTATACACTGTACAGTTGACACTTCTCTTCCATAACATATATAAATACTGTATAATCCTATTTAAATATCACTATGCCTCTTACTTACCTCAATGATATAATACTCCTCTGAAGTTGGGTTTAAGGCATACTGGATGTTGCACTCGCCCACCACACCCAGACGTCTGACAACTGATATAGCAGTGGAACGAAGAAGATTGTATTCCTTGTTGGTCAATGTCTGAGATGGGGCTACTACAAGACTCTCACCGGTGTGGATGCCTAAAGGATCAATATTTTCCATGTTGCAAACCTGCAAAAATATCAAAGGTAAATAAACAAATACAGTATGTATATATATATATATATATATATATATATATATATATATATATATATATATATATATATATATATATATATATATATATATATATATATATATATATATATATATATATATATATATATATATATATATATATATATATATATATATATATATATTTCATGTAAATCCACAATGAAAACGTGGATAAGATAAATCTTGATAAAATCACACAGGAAAATGGAAACAACGGAGTACCTTAGCTTTCGTCTTTATTCAAGACATCTTCAGAGGCAACTGGATTACATGGACAGAGAGAGGCTTAAATATACAGGGTGACCTAAAAACATGAGGTCAGGTCATAATGATGACATCCACTAATCCCCACACCAACACACACGTAGAGGAGCTTAAGAGAAGGGTGGTGACGTGACTAGCCAGGTCAGGTCAGAAAAAAGGGACCCACAAAATAACAAGCATTGCATTGACTGGGATAATGCCTCCTCAATATTACCATGTAATTCAATTGATAGTAGGAACATCATAGAATCTAGTCTTATTAAACATACAGAAGCATTCAACATGAATTTGAGTAATGGCATGTACAAGCTGGACAATTTTGTAATTAAGAAGATTTGTAACCAGGTGAGAAGGCCGGGTCACCTGACCATCTGACCTGACCACCAACCGTTGTGTGCTATTTAAAGATTAGTAGGGTCATTACCTAATACCTGACCATTGTGGACCTGGTCTCACCCTCCTCTGTATATATATCACCTTGGTTTGTATTTCTCTCTCTCAGTCTGTACTCACCCTGAAGATGTGAATTACTGCAGCTTGGGAACTTAGTGTTTTCTTCTCCTTGTGGATATCAGCATATATATACAGTGGGGTATGCTATAACGAGCGTAATTGGTTCCAGAACCTACGTTATAGCATTAGTTAGATATAGGATTAATCGTTCAGGCCCCAAATACAACGCTTAACACTGAAAAATTCTGTGGAAAATGTAAAAATACGGTACTTTATCTTACATTGGTGTTATTCAGCATGCAGGTACCCCTAAACACTGGCATCACTATCACTTCCACTGGGAGTCTTGGCTTTAAGGTCCTCAAACAATTGTTTAGCCTTCTCACAAATTATAGCTTCACTAATGTTACCACCTGCCATTTCTTTCTCCTTTATCCACACTAAGAGTAAATTTTCCATCTCTTCAATCACATTACACCTTGCTTTTAAGTCTAAAGATTCCTTAGCCACTTGCACAGTTTTAACTCCTCATTATTCTTCAAAATCGTACATATAGTCGATTTAGCCATCCCATATTCATCACTAAGTTTAGATCGTCTCTTCCATTCTCCGTTTCTTTATAATTTCTTTCTTAGTTTCAAGGGTTATTAGCTTTCTCACTTCGCTTTGGACGACTCATTGTTTAATTATACTTGTATAACAAAATAGTATACAAATATGGCAATTGCACATCAAAAGACGAAATTTCAACAATAACAGTGGTGCACTGGCTACACAATGAGACAAAGATGGGCCTGGCAGCTCTTGTTGTGGGTGGCGGTACAACAATATTCATGCGCCAGGCGAAATAGTCCGCATTCATCGGCGTTAAGTTGTAGGAGTTAGTTAGATTTACAGCATTCTCAATTTTATAGGTAAAACCGTTAGGTTATAGGAATATTAGTAGTAGGATCAGTTAGATTTATAGCATACCCACTGTGTTAATATATATATATATATGTAATATTAATATATATATATATATAAATATATATATATATATATATATATGTTGTAGTCGCAGGAGAGAGAGCAGCATTCAACATATAACAATATGTATTGTAATATATATAATGTGTGTTTATATATATATATATATATATGTATATATATATATATATATATATGTATATATATATATATATATATATATATATATATATATATATATATATATATATATATATATATATATATATATATATATATATATATATATATATATATATAATAAATCACTTTAGATATTTAGCATTGATCCAGGTATATGCTGATAACCACAAGGAAGAAAGAAAACACGAAGTTCCCAAGTCTAGGAATGGCAATTTACAGTCATGCTCTAATTCCACAGTGAATCTGATCGAGGGTATATGTTGGTGGTGCTCAGAAGAAAAGGGAACAGTCAAACAGTCAACTACTTTTGAGACGAAAATGAAGATAATACAGTAATCCAGTATGAAAATGGAAAAACTGTAGCAACCATTTCACGCGACTTAAGGCTTCTCGCACTCGACCTATCTACTATTTTGTGAGGTAGTGAAATGAGCAGCACCTATAAAGGGAATTATAATAATGAAGAAAGACAAGGTCCCATTCATGAGATGTAAAAATTACTTGTGATATGGATGGCAGGAGATGAGTGCGACCAAACATTCACAGCAAGTCATGGGTGGTTTAACAGATTTTAGGACCGCTACAGTTTACATAATGTTAAGGTGAGTGGAGAGGCAGCTAGTGCTGATGTTGGTGCTGCCGAAGCTTTTGGGAGGAGCTAGATCGTGTGATTGGAGAAGGAAATTATTTGCCTGAGCAAATATTCAATATGTATGAAACTGGATTATTATGGAAGCGCATGCCTGAACGGACATACATCACAAGAGGTGAAAACAAGGCCAGGATTCAAGGCATTCAAGGACCGAATTACACTTCTGTTGGGGGGGATGAAGCTGGTTTCAAGATAAAGCCCTTCATGCTCTATCATTCAGAGAACCCCAGGGCTTTTAAAGGGTGTCAACAAACACACACACTGCCAGTGTCTTATCGCAGTAATAAGAAAGCCTGGATGATCCTAGAACTGTTTGAGGATTGGTTCATGAATTGTTTCATTCGTCGAGCAAGGGGGTGATGTGGGTGGGGGTGGGGGGTGATGTGGGTGGGGGGGGTGATTGGGTGGGGGGTGATGTGGGTGGGGGTGATGTGGGTGGGGTGATGTGGATGGGGGTGATGTGGGTGGAGGGTGATGTGGGTGGAGGTGATGTGTGTGGGTGGAGGGTGATGTGGGTGGAGGGTGATGTGGGTGGGGGTGATGTGGGTGGGGTGATGTGGGTGGAGGGGTGATGTAGGTGGGGGGTGATGTGGGTGGGGGGTGTGGATGGGGAGGTGATGTGGATGGGGGTGATGTGGACGGGGGGTGATGTGGATGGGGGTGATGTGGGTGGGGGGGTGATGTGGGTGGGGGTGATGTGGGTGGGGGTGATGTGGGTGGGGGTGATGTGGGTGGGGGTGATGTGGGGGGTGATGTGGGTGGGGGTGATGTGGGTGGGGGTGATGTGGGTGGGGGTGATGTGGGTGGGGGGTGATGTGGGTGGGGGGGTGATGTGGGTGGGGGGTGATGTGGGTGGGGGTGATGTGGGTGGGGGTGATGTGGGTGGGGGGTGATGTGGGTGGGGGTGATGTGGGTGGGGGGTGATGTGTGGGTGGGGGTGATGTGGGTGGGGGTGATGTGGGTGGGGGGTGATGTGGGTGGGGGTGATGTGGGTGGGGGGTGATGTGGGTGGGGTGATGTGGGTGGGGGGTGATGTGGGTGGGGGTGATGTGGGTGGGGTGTGATGTGGGTGGGGGTGATGTGGGTGGGGGTGATGTGGGTGGGGGTGATGTGGGTGGGGGTGATGTGGGTGGGGGGGGTGATGTGGGTGGGGGGTGATGTGGGTGGGGGGTGATGTGGGTGGGGGGTGTGTGGGTGGGGGTAATGTGGGTGGGGGTAATGTGGGTGGGGGTAATGTGGGTGGGGGTGATGGGGTGATGTGGGGGGATGTGGGGGGTGTGTGATGTGGGGGGGTGTGATGTGGGGTGATGTGGGGGGTGGTGATGTGGGTGGAGGGGTGATGTGGGTGGAGGGGGTGATGTGTGGGTGGAGGGTGATGTGGGTGGGTGATGTGGGTGGAGGGTGATGTGGGTGGAGGTGATGTGGGTGGAGGGTGATGATGTGGGTGGAGGGTGATGGGTGGAGGGTGATGTGGGTGGAGGGTGATGTGGGTGGAGGGGGTGATGTGGGTGGGGGTGTGGGTGGGGGGTGATGTGGGTGGGGGGGTGGTGTGGTGGGGGGTGATGTGGGTGGGGGGGTGATGTGGGTGGGGGGTGATGTGGGTGGGGGGTGATGTGGGTGGGGGTATGTGGGTGGGGGTGATGTGGGTGGGGGTGTGTGGGTGGGGGTGATGTGGGTGGTGATGGGGGTGAGGGGGGATGTGGGGGTGTGATGTGGGGGGTGTGATGTGGGGGTGATGTGGGGGGGTGATGTGGGTGGAGGGGTGATGTGGGTGGAGGGGTGATGTGTGGGTGGAGGGGTGATGTGGGTGGAGGGGGTGATGTGGGTGGAGGAGGTGATGTGGGTGGAGGGTGATGTGGGTGGAGGGTGATGTGGGTGGAGGGGTGATGTGGGTGGGGGTGAGGGGGGGGTGATGTGGGTGGAGGGTGATGTGGGTGGAGGGGTGATGTGGGTGGAGGTGATGTGGGTGGAGGGGTGATGTGGGTGGAGGGTGATGTGGGTGGAGGGGTGATGTGGGTGGAGGGGTGATGTGGGTGGAGGGGTGATGTGGGTGGATGGGTGGGTGATGTGGATGGGGGTGATGTGGGTCGGGGGTGATGTGGGTCGGGGATGTGTGGGTGGGTGGTGTAATGTGGGTGGGGGTGTAATGTGGAAGGGGGTGTGTGGGTGGGGGTTGTGTGGGTGGGGGTAATGTGGGTGGGGTTGTATTGGGGGTGATGTGGGTGGGGGATGTGTGTGGGGGTAATGTGGGTGGGGTATGTGGGTGGGGTGTGTGGGTGGGGAATTGTGTGGGTGGGGGTATGTGGGTGGGGGTAATGGGTGGGGGTATGTGGGTGGGGGGTGATGTGGGTGGGTGGGTGATGGGTGGGGTGATGTGGGTGGGGGATGTGGGTGGGGTGGGTGGGGGTGATGTGGGTGGGGGTGTGTG